AAACGTCCATGAGATTCTTGATACGTTTAGCAAGCTCAGACTCCATGCAATCAGATAAGACCTTCTGTGCCTCTGCTCCTCTATCATAGCCTCTCTTTCGCACAGATGCATGTTCATTTTATTTTCTGTCAATGTACCTCTTCAGTGTCATTCAGTCAATTTTTTCATCCCTTGCTGCTGCTCAAATGGACTTCTTCACTTCTCTCACTTCCTTGGCTGCTCTCTCAAGAACCTCAACGGGGACAAGACCCCTGCTTATTTTACATTTGTATACACGGGCATGATGATGTCTGCTCTGTAACAATACAAATCTTGAATTCATATGCATGACACATTGCAAAAAGACTATGCATATTATGCATAAAACTGATTTTTTTAATATAATGATTTGTATGGGGTATGGTGGCCATTGGCTCAATGTACCCCATGGCTATTGGCTCAACCTACCCCAAGGCAAACATTTGGACTATATTAGCCCACACAGTTACAAGGATGCACTTTCATGCTAGGTTTAGGACCTCATATTGTAGCTTATAGAGACCCCAGCTGATGTATAAAACCATCTTAAAACTATCTAATTTGGTTTAGATACAAACAATACATTCATTTGACTATGTGAAAATCGTTATTTTGGACCTAACTTGCTTACCACTTATTCCATATGGTTTCTTCTTTCACAGACTCCATGAAATGATGACCTATTCCTAAATATTTGGTCACATTATTAATTTTGTGTATGGTTTCCTAGAAACAAGGGGTGGCTCAATTAACCCTTTGGCTCAACATACCCCACTTTCCCCTACTGTTCAAGTGCCAAACACATGGTACTTTCTCAGTATTAGGGGCAGGTCACATGGTCAGGTAAAAGTCAGGGCCCTTGTAAGTCTGAAAAGTATCTGAAAAACGAGTTACCTGACATATGAAATGTATGACATCCACTGAAGATACCACGGAATTGTGTCAAAACTGACAAAGAAGCCAGAGAAAAGCAGTACGGGTATGGCAGTCACCGGACCTACAAACGTGGCAACCTGAGATATGGACAAGCGCAAAATCAGAGGTAGGACATGACTCACTTAACCATGTTACATGTACATACTGCATTTAATCATCTGCTTAGAATAAAATTGGGTACCACTCTGAGAAACATATAATTATATGCATATACTATAGGTTGGTACTGTGTAAATACAATGTGGTTGGTGTGATTGTGCCAGGAAATATAGTTTAAAATATATAAATATTTGTTTAATTAATTTTAAAAAGTTGTATTTACAGATACAAATCAGAAATGTAGATGGGGGGACAGGTGAGAGGGATACAGCAGAGAGAGTGAGTGGTGGAACAGGGGATCGAAACACTGCCTCCAGGGGCATACAGTATGTGGTACGGGGGCGGCACTACGCTTAGACCAGCCCCACGCTTAGACCAGCCCCACGCTTAGACCAGCCCCATGCTTAGACCAGCCCCATGCTTAGACCAGCCCCATGCTTAGACCAGCCCCACGCTTAGACCAGCCCCAAGGACAAACTATATTTTTTATGAGCAAATAATATCAATACACAGACAGAATTTGCTAATAATATCAATCCTCAGCCTGAATGGTCACAATAGAGTTTCATTTACAAATCTCAAGCTGCAAACAACAGGCGTAGCAGTTGTTATCGTGTGTTAGTATTGAGAGAATGGAGGACGTACCTGTAGCGAGGTGGAAGCCGCTCCTATCAGCAGGCCCAGAGACTGGGCCACAAGAGAGGTGAGGACTCCCAGGGCCAAGAAAAGGATGAAACGCACAGCGTCAGGCGGCTGGGACGTCATCCAATAGACGATGCTGCAGTAGGCGACTGGGAACACTATCTGTGAAGCAAAATAAGAAAAATAGTTGATTGTTAATTTGTGGACACAGAAATTGTCCTGTCAGCTTTTTTCTCTCGACCCCCAACGCACGCACAGTTGCACACACGCCCAACCACACATTGACAGATTGGAAGGTCAGTGTCAGTGCAGCACCCCAAGGGTCGTGTAGGGGGTTAAGTCCCTTGCTGAAGGGCACAACAGCATGAGAAGCTGTTGTTATCAAGGATTGTGATACGGCCACCTCATATTCCTCATGTTCAGCCAACAGTACCTCACCGTGGAAAACACATTGAGTATCATTGAAACATCAAACTAAAACACTTTTATTCATGTGGAAAATCAAAGTCGAGCTGTATGCGCTTTGAAATAATAATTTTGAATTGTTGAAAAAAGCCTAATTAGATGTGAGTAATTCAATACAATAATTGAAAACATGCAGTAAACCTTTCTGTCAGTTTTAATTTAGAGCACAAGGGGATGTCTGGTGAAGCGTAAAGCCTCCTTATGTAATGTTATTGTGGGATTTGTCTAAATCTGACAAACAGAATGGCTTTTTGACCTTGATGCTAAAGCCCCATAACAGGTTTCTTCAGTTACAATACCGTTGCTCTTTTCAGGGAATGATAGAATCGACATGTTTTTATAATTTTTTTGCATTTTGATGAAATACCAACTTACAGATTTTCTGGGACACAACACACTACTAAAAATGACCCTCCAGAGTTCTATGTGACATTGTAATTACCTGGAAGGGGAGGTCCGCCATAGTCTTGGCCAGATAGTAAGCCTTCAGGCTGTACCAGTAGTTCAAGTGCTCTCTTAGGAACACTCCCATCTCCAAAGGGACTGCATTAGAGAGATGGAGAAAACAGGGTCATAGTAATCTCATTTAGGTAATCAGAAAACAACGCCAAGATAAATCTCAGCACAGTCTACTCCTAACATACTGTATGCAATAGCTTACGACTGTTGTGAATTCATGCACTAAATCAATGCATGCAGATGTCTGTCAGTAAGAAGAGCTGAGAATACTCACACGTCAGAACAGTAGGCATGAGAGCAGCAAACATGAGGAAGAGCATGGAGAAGAAGAGGAAGCCGGAGTTGCTGAGCACTTTCTTGGCGTCGTTGCCGATGCCCAGGTAGAGCAGGCCAATCAGAATCCCAATCCCAATGTGAGAGATGATTCTTAGGTGAGTCAGCACCTGTAGGGCCAGAACAGGAGGAGAAAAAACATTTTGTTTATATATTTTCCTATCCATTGTGTTTCTGCATCTGCATTGCTTGCTCTTTGGGGTTTTATGCTGGGTATCTGCAAAGTCCTTTGTGACAACTGCTGATGTAAAAAGGGCTAGATAAAATAAATTTGATTGAATATGATTGAGAGGAAGAGGAAGGAGGAGGGTGGAGAAGAGGAGATGAGAAGGGAAAATGTAGTGGTTGTGAGAGTATGGTATGAATAGATGTATTTTTTGTTTGTGTTATGACGTTCTCATCACAATTTGTTGAATTTCGTTTTTTCCTCTGTTATTCTTTTCATATGCTTTTCAATTTTATTAAAGTGTTTGGGGTTCATTATGCAACATTTTGTTATTTTAAAGGGGGCTGGAAGCTGTTGCAGTACAAAAACAAACCAGTAGGTGACAGTATGTCTTACCGTATCTCTAATGATGCATTGAAACGTCCTTTTGAACAGGATGCAGAACTGAGTCAGACAACTGGCAGAGAAACTGTGGCAGCCCTCACCGGAAGAGGAGTCCTGAGAGGATTTTGAGAGAGAGAGAGAGTGAGAGAGAGAGAGAGCGAGAGAGCGAGAGAGAGAGAGAGAAAGAGAGAGAGAAAGAAAAAACCGTGACTGAACAACCTGAAGTGCTAATGCCTCTCAACCGCTCTTTCCTGAAACATTTCAATGAAATGCTTTGACTCTGAAAATGTCACTTCAGTGAGATTCTTCATTTCAACCCATTGAGAGCTGTAGTAATACACTAATCCCCCTTTTACCTCCTCAGAAGATTTGTGCCACAGGAAAGGGTTGAGGGGTCCATCGTTCATGTCTGTCTTGTAGACCTGCTCACATTTCCCCTCCTGCACGGCCTTCACCAGATGAGCCGTCTGATCTCCGTACTCCCCAGACGCCACCTCCATCACTGGGATAAAATGGAGAGAGAGGTACGCATGTCACAGAAACCCCAGTGAATACTGCATGAGGAACCATCTTTAAAGTTATTCTGAGATAATTCATTTTCGGTTGAACTAATAGATAGAATAGTTTCTAGAACGCTTTATACCAAAGTATGTTAAAATAACTTTCTGGGACAGTTATTCTAAGAAAATAAGACAGATTCCTGAATACACTGATATGCATGTGTAAATAAGGTGATTATAACAATGATGACAACACATTTGACTTGTTTCTCATTAAACTGGTAAGAGTTTCTCACCAAAGTCTGCAGGGTTGTGATACGTTGGGCAGTTGAGCCCCAGCTCTCTAAGGTAGGGGACCAGGTTAGGCACTTTCCCTCTGTAGATACACTGACCCTGGCTAAGGACATACAGCTAGGGAGGGAAACACAGGGGCACGAAGCAATCAGAATACAGTACATTCATTTAGCAGACCATTCATTTAGTATTGCGCCACATGTCTAGCTAGCTCCATACAGTTTCTCATTTCCAACTGTGATCCTGTGGTATCATTGTGCCTTTCATAGATTCCCATGCAGGATGGCTAGCCTGAATCCCAGATCTGTTTATGTTGTCACGCCAATGACGTAGGAGTTGGTAAGACAACACAAACAGATCTGGGACTCAGGCTAGCAGTAGGCCCGGTTGGAGGCTGACCTTGTTGAAGAGCTCAAAGAGCTTGGCGCTGGGCTGGTGGATGGTGCAGATGACGGTGCGGCCACCATGCGCCAGGGCCTTCAGCAGAGACAACACCTGGAAGCAGGAGGAACTGTCCAGGCCACTGCAAAACAGAATATAGAGGCGAGGGTTAGCGTATAGGGGACAATGTCAAAGCAAAGAATAGATTGGCTTTTGCACACGTAAAGTAACATCTTAGATCATCAATTCGGAGGAGAAGCAAACAAGTGAAGTGAACTGGTAGAAGGACTCCAGCACATTCCATGAACTTGCACTATTTGGCACATGTTTATGACAAAGCAACAAACAATGAGTTGGTACGAATTCTGTACAGTCCTTTCCATGGCCAGTGTTTGGTTACCCCTCATCTTCTTCTCTACATCTGTTTCAAGCCTGCAATCAACAAGTGCTCAGAGTGGGAACGAAGGGGGCTTTTCACAATGACTAACGTTAGCTACTTAAGTTAACATGATGTTTTCTGCACACCTTCACACATGTTCTTGTATGTGATCTAATGGTCCTATCACTGGACACTGATATGAATCATGTCAGTAATTTTGAGCAGGTGAGAAGATTCTTTGGATTGGGAGTGTGTATCACAGTTCAGTTAAGCAGTCGGAGGTGGCTGAGAGAGAGGGTAAAGAGGCAGATGAAGTGTCAGTCTTAGAAGGCATCAGAGGATTGGGCATCAGGAGTAAATCCCCTTAAGAGACTGCACGTTGCTGCTCTCAGAAACTATGACATCATTCCAGTTTCAGACCAGGGTCAATTCGAATTTGAAGTCAGTCAATTCAGGAAGAAATTTGAACACTTAAATAAACCGTTTCTCCTTTTTGATTTATTGAGAAGTCATTGAAAATAAAATAAAATATTTTCCCAAATATTGAATTAGAATTTCAGTTTACTTCATGAATTCAAATTGACCCCAACCCTGTTTCAGACACATCCCTATCTCAATAGCAGCGTACAATGGACCCTAAAAATGACATTGAGTCTTAAACAACAAGAGCACTTCAGAACGTTTATGGTAAGGTTACCAAATGTGGTAGCTCTACAGTCCTCTACTGTTTATTGATTTTATTTGTCAGGGACTTTCCATCTGCCCTATCTCAGTCCCATATGTTGTCAGATTGACTTCTGAAGATACCGTTTCAGATGCTTGGAATATTTACAGTGCCTATAGAAAGTCTACAACCACCTTGGATTTCTTTAAATTGTATTGTGTTACAAAGTGGGAATCAAATGGATTTAACCCCCTAATGTCAATGCCTGCGCCCCACCGAAACCTAATTAGCATAATAAAAAGATCCCTATAAAAATCTGTCAGTTTAAGCTAAAGTTCGCTATTTTTCCATTGGATGCGTCTCAATCCACCGCATCTGCCAATGTCACACTTCTGTATCTGCGGTGAAAGGTAACAGAGCAGTGTTTCTCAGACCATGAGACGATTTTACCATGTCAATCTTGATGGGGCAAAAAAAAATGTTTTGTTACAACTGGCTATCAGCAGAGCCTTGTCTGGCAGCGAAACAGTTAATTCAGCCTCATTTACTGCCTTTTAAAAAAACATAGCTGATAGGGCTGACTTGCTTAAACAAATTTGGTTTCTACTGACAATTGACATGTTCAAACTATGGCATAAGGGGACGACGAGCGGATAAGAGGCAATCCGTAATTTTGATTAAGACATTAATGAGCGAGGTAGGACAGACGTAGTCAATATAACTATTTGTTCAGCACTTTTGAGATGCACAGTGACAGATTTCAGAACATGGGCCGTTCTTACAGTATTCTCCCTGTACACCAAGTCAGAACCATAGCTTCTACCCCCAAGCCATAAGACTGCTGAACAATTAATCAAAGGCCACCCGGACTATTTACATTGACCCCCCCCCATTTGTTTTTACACTGCTGCTACCCACTGTCTATTATCTAAAGTTGATCAGTTAGGATCACCACTTTAATTTAAGAATGTGAAATGTCAGAATAATAGTAGAGAGAATGATTTATTTCAGCTTTTATTTCATTCATCACATTCCCAGTGGGTCAGAAGTTTACATACACTCAATTAGTATTTGGTAGCATTGCCTTTAAATTGTTTAACTTGGGTCAAATGTTTCGGGTAGCCTTCCACAAGCTTCCCACAATAAGTTGGGTGAATTTTGGACCTTTCCTCCTGACAGAGCTGGTGTAATTGAGTCAGGTTTGTAGGCCTCCTTGCTCACACACGCTTGTTCAGTTCTGCCCACAAATGTTCTATAGGATTGAGGTAAGGGCTTTGTGATGGCCACTCCAATACCTTGGCTTTGTTGTCCTTAAGCCATTTTGCCACAACTTTGAAAGAATGCTTGGGGTCATTGTCCATTTGGAAGACCCATTTGCGACCAAGCTTTAACTTCCTGACTGATGTCTTGAGATGTTGCTTCAATATATCCACATAATTTTCCTTCCTCATGATGCCATCTATTTTGTGAAGTGCACCAGTCCCTCCTGCAGCAAAGCACCCCCACAGCATGATGCTGCCACCCCGTGCTTCACGGTTGGGATGGTGTTCTTCGGCTTGCAAGACACCCCCTTTTTCTTCCAAACATAACGATGGTCATTGTCTGTAAATAATTGTTGGAAAAATTACTTGTGTCATGCACAAAGTAGATGTCCTAACCGACTTGACAAAACTAGTTTGTTAAAAAGAAATGTGTGGAGTGGCTACAAAACTAGTTTTAATGACTCCAACCTAAGTGTATGTAAACTTCCGACTTCAACTGTATATATATATAGTCACTTTACCCCTATCTACATGTACAAATTACCTCGACTAACCTGTACCCCCGCACATTGACTCGGTACCGGTACCCCCTGTATATAGCCTCGTTATTGTTATTGTGTAACTTTTTATTATTTTTTACTTTAGTTAATTTGGTCAACTCTTTCTTGAACTGCATTGTTGGTTAAAGGCTTGTAAGTAAGCATGTCACGGTAAGGTCTACACCTGTTGTATTTGGCGCATGTGACAATTAAAGTTTGATTTGATTTGATAGGATAAATAAAGGGGGCATATAAGCAGACAATGAAAGCTCTTTTTTATCCCCCCCCCAAAAAAAATATATATATTTGTATTATTTATTTTTTTAGGAGGTAGATCAGCTTTAATATTGCAGATAGATTATAACTTCCATCAATGTATAATTGTCTGCATCACTTCCAATCCCCCATGTTTTTTTCCCACAGATATATATGTAAATATACACATTTACCTACATACATACAAATACATATACACACACATATCCTTTTTTAAATATATTTTCCTTTATTACTTTCCAACACCACCTCCCCTCCCCTAATTGGAGTAAACTAGTGAACAACAACGCTTAGGCCTCTACTTCCAGCTTATACATACTATATAAATTTTATGGACAGAGTCAATTTTACAATAATTATATTTTGTTTGTTTTACTCAACCTCTCTGAACATTTTCATGATGTCCACCGGGTTTGCTTCTATATGCCATATCTTTCAAACTGTGCTCTTTCACAAAAGCTCTCAACCTATAACCTATATACTTATTATGGACACAGTATGTTTTACATTAGTTATTTTGTTGTTATTAGTTATTAGTCCCAACCTTCAGCTCCATTCAACCCCTCCCATCTATCTCTTAACACTATCCATATTGGATTTCTATTTGCCATATATTTTTCAACTGTACTGTGATGTTTCACAAAAGTTCTGAACCCTTCTATTCTCATTGTTTCTACAGATTGTACATTGAAAATAAACATTTTTGCTAAAAGTATTATATTATTGATCGATTGACTATGACTTTTCAGATCACCCGGTTGTGCTATCTGCAGGGTTAGCTCCAGGTAAATATTGCAATCCTTCAGCTCTTCTTGGACCTGTGACCAAAGACAAGCTACAAATGGACAGTACCAAAAGAAATGATCTAATGATTCTGTCTCTTTGCAGAAAAATCTGCAGAGCTGGGAAGATTGTATCCCCCATATAAATAACATTCTATTGGTAGCAAGAATTTGGTATAATAATTTAAATTGAAAAATTCAAAGTTTTGAATCCGGCGTCGTTTTGCGTATCAGTTCATAAACCATTTGCCATGGAATCGGTACGTAAAAAAATCTCTTCCCAACTATTTTGCAATCTATTTGACGGCTGTCAATCCTTTGGTCCTTAAATGAAACTGGAATAATGTTTTATTTATCACAATTTTCTTTAAACCAATTATGGTCTTTAATGCAATGCCGACAGACAAGTTCCTTACTTTTTCCCCCTTCCACTTTCCTCTTCCATTTTTGCGGTAATGCTGCAATTATTTGGTTGTAATTTTGTGTAGAGCAGACATTTTGTCACGCTCGTTGATAGACGGATCAGACCAAGGTGCAGCGTGGTATGCGTACATATTCCTTTATTAACTGAATTCAGATCAAAACAACAAAATACAAACGAACGTGAAGTTCAACAGGCTACACAAGCCAAAACAGAAACAAGATCCCACCACTAAGGTAGGCAAAATGGCTGCCTAAGTATGATCCCCAATCAGAGACAATGATAGACAGCTGCCTCTGATTGGGAACCACACCCAGCCAACATAGAAATAGAACATCTACAGTGGGGAGAACAAGTATTTGAAATCACATTGTATGATTTTTAAGTAATTAATTTGCATTTTATTGCATGACATAAGTATTTGATACATCAGAAAAGCAGAACTTAATATTTGGTACAGAAACCTTTGTTTGCAATTACAGAGATCATACGTTTCCTGTAGGTCTTGACCAGGTTTGCACACACTGCAGCAGGGATTTTGGCCCACTCCTCCATACAGACCTTCTCCAGATCCTTCAGGTTTCGGGGCTGTCGCTGGGCAATACGGACTTTCAGCTCCCTCCAAAGATTTTCTATTGGGTTCAGGTCTGGAGACTGGCTAGGCCACTCCAGGACCTTGAGATGCTTCTTACGGAGCCACTCCTTAGTTGCCCTGGCTGTGTGTTTCGGGTCGTTGTCATGCTGGAAGACCCAGCCACGACCCATCTTCAATGCTCTTTCTGAGGGAAGGAGGTTGTTGGCCAAGATCTCGCGATACATGGCCCCATCCATCCTCCCCTCAATACGGTGCAGTCGTCCTGTCCCCTTTGCAGAAAAGCATCCCCAAAGAATGATGTTTCCACCTCCATGCTTCATGGTTGGGATGGTGTTCTTGGGGTTGTACTCATCCTTCTTCTTCCTCCAAACACGGCGAGTGGAGTT